GATTTAAAAGGGTCCAAATAACCGATTTAAAAAATCATTTTTGTACTAGTGGTTGTTGGGTATGTGTTTGGGGTGGGGGTGGGACGGGTGATGGGGCTAAGGTATAGTGGGCGTGGGCGGGGTAGGGGGTGAGGCGTGGGCCTTAGAGACCCGGGTTAAGGTTAGGGTAGGGTGAGTTCCAGGCATTGTTGTCGTCATAGGATTGCCGCTGTCGTGAGCCGTTTTGACATCCGCGACCTCGACCCTGATTTCCACCGCCACGTCCTTGTCCTTGTCCGTCGCCTCCACGCTGACTGGGGTTGCCTTCACCATAGCTTGTGTCGTCATGCTGTCCGCCATAGCTGTCGTGAGTACCGCCGTGGGTGCCGCCATGAGGGTGGCCGCCGGCTCGATTCATGAGTAGAGCCGTGGTGCCCGAGTCAGTGGAGCTCGTTCATTGTCGATCTAGAAGCATGAGGGCAGAACGGACCTGTAGGAACGTCGGCATTGGATCCTGAAATTGCATGAATGATGTTTGGGCCCGAAGATCTGCAGGGAGTCCACGAAGCATATGAAGAACAAGCTGGTGTTGAGAGACTGGTGCATCAACATAGTCCAGCCAATCAAAAAGATTCTGAAGTAATTGACAATAGGCCGCCATGGTAGAGTTACCCTTGATTGTTGTACGGAATTCATGCTCCAATTGCATGGCTCGGGCATGTTTGTTATCGTGGAACAAGTCGTGGATGACCTTCCAGAGAGCAGAGGCAGTGGAGACAGAGGAGATGACCAGATCTGAGACTTCATCGGTGATGGTGGGGAGAATCCAACCCTGGAGAAGAGCGTCGAGTTGGAACCATTCATTGTCATCATCAGAGAGGGGGACGACAGAGCCGTTGATGTAGCCCTGGAGGTTGAACCGCCGAACCAAGAGAAGAAACAAACGACTCCACTTTTTGTAATTAGATTGAGAAAGGCTGAGTTGAATGGGGACGTGAAGTTTCACATTGGAGACAGTTGTGAATGCAAGATGAGGGGGTTTAGAGGAGATATTTTGAGAAGTAAGTTCACTAACTTCGACCATGGTTGAGAGAAGGAGGAGAGGAGGTCGCCGGTGGAGGAGGAAGCCCGCGTGGCCGCTGGTTGGGCAGCCGCAAGAGACGGCGGTGCTGAGGGAGGGGGCGGCGGGTTTAAGCTGAGAGGGAGAGAGAGAGAGGGAGATGAATTAGAGTTTTGTGTTTTTTAGCTCCGATACCATGTAGAAAGAGTAATTTCATTGAATAATTGTGTGGGAGTACATGTCTTTATCTACACAAGTATTCCTAATCCTATACAAGGGTAAGAGACTATAATAGGAAACAATATATATACATTAAATATAGAATATATATATATTTAACAGAAAGAAAGAAAGCAAAGAAATAAATCGAAAAAAAGAGAAACACAAGAAAGCAACGGGAAAAACAGAATGGGAAACCTGCCTTTTCCGTTCCCACATAAGAGGCGGCTTTAGACATGACAAAATAAAACTATAACTGATTACCCAAACTGAATAATCTGAAATGATCCGAATGTGAATATTTGATGTGTAACCTAAAATCTGAAAGGATCCAAACTAAATCAAAACCGAACTAAATACTTCATACCCGATTTAAATCTGAAACCGATTAAATTCAAAACTGATAATACCCAAAATTGATATGCCCAAAATGTTTTAGATCTGAAACTGAAAAAATCAAGAACTATTTTTGCCTTTCAACAAACATATTCTATTTTCAGATATTTACTTTTATTTTACCATTTGAACTAGTTATATTTTGAAACGTTTATATCCAAAAATTTATCGGCGAGCCAAGATAACTCAGAGAGAAATTACTATACGAACAAAATTAAAAGCAATAAAAGATTTGAAAAATGCCTTCCGACTATATTCCTATTAAAGTACATATTTCAAAATTAAGCCCTTTACAAAGTTCATCTGTATCCATAAGCCTTTTATGAAACAATTTTTTATTTCTAAGATACCTAAATATTACATTTTATCTTTGCATTTATAGAGATAATGATAATAGTATATATAATAAATTTTATATTTCAAAACTAAATCTTAAAATCAATTTTATTATATTAAATTTATATCATAATAAAATATACTTGTTTTCATAATTTATAGCCTAAATTTGTAAACAATTACTAAAAATTAAAAAAAGGAAGATTATTTAGGTCAAAGATAGTATAATTAGAAAAAATGTAAAATAATACTCCCCTTGTTCCTAAATCATTTACTCTTCACGCAAAACGAAGTAAACGTGATATGACAAAAAAGAAATATGGATAATTAATTTTAATGAGAAAATAATATATATCCAAAACATATTTGAAACAAAATATATCCAAACTAAATATATTTGAAATCGAAATATACACGAATGAACTATGTCCGAAACTAAAATGTATCAGAAATTGAAATCTATATGAACCGATTTTTATTAAAATCGTATCTAAACTTACTTGGAACCGAATCAAAACCGAAAATGTATGAAACCAAATGAAATCAAAATTGAAATTAAACAAAACCAATGCAAATCGAACCAATTATAACATACAGAGTATATCTGAAAGATATCTAAACTGAATAAATCTAATCTGGAAATGATATGATTGCCAACTCTAGCCAGTGTTTCCCCCATCTTGTCCTGCCACGTCACCATCCTATCCCCCTTCACGTCTTTCATAATCATACCCCTCAGTCTTATTTTGAGGAAAGAATTTTTTTACGGAGGGTTCCCATGTGATGGGTTTTAGAATTCGAGGTCTAGGAAATTAGGTAGGAGAGTATCGAACAAGGGTTGAGTGCTTTTGGTCGCAAGAGTAGAGTAAGTATATTTGCTTAGTAGTAAAAATGTGAACTTGTCTTCCCTCCTTCAAGGAAGGGTATTTATACAATACGTTTTCCCATGCTTGGGTTTCCTAGCCGTTTGTCTACGACCTACTAGGCTGGGCCCACTGGGATCCTTCCTTCTAATTGACAGTACAAGAAATATGATTATAAAATAGGGTGGCTACAAATAATAGGGTGGCTACAACGAGTTCGAGAAGATGTATCCAGGGTATACAAGCTCTCACGCCCGCGGTAGGCTCGCAGTGCTTTGCTGGTGGCAGAAGTCGAGTGCACATGCTCTGCAATGGGAAGCCAGACGAGTGGAGATCTGACCGGGTCCACCCTGATTCCAAGTGGATGTATCCGAGTGAGTAGAAACATGAGTC